TTTTAATGATGCATTTTGCTTTGCAGAAATGTTTGATTTTAATGTAGTTGAATATGTAAATCCTTAAGAAAGTGAACTCAGTTATGTAACATGTTTGGAAGACCTTTCTCATACCAAGATTATGAAAAAAAAAAACCTTTTCTTCTAGCTTTGTTGGTTTTTGTTTTTTAACATTTAAACATGTGAACCATCTGGAATTAATTTTGGTATAAGTAGCAATATAAATCTCCCTGCACTGTTCCCACCACCCCCACAGCTACCCGCTTGTCCTAGCTCCATTTACTGAATGATAGATATTTTATGGTGTTAAGGAAATTCTCTAATTTGGTACATGCTTGTTTATAACTGTTTGTAATAGCCAGTCCTGAGAAGAGCAGTCACAGAGCTTCAGGGGCTGTGCTGGGCAGTGGAGTTGAGACCCCGCGGCTGCTGGTTCTGACAGCCAATGCTGTGAGCTGAGAAGGCCCGCTGGCCCGTCCACTGGATGGGGACCTGGACCCTTGCGGGGTTGGAGGCCAGAGGCACCGAGGCCAGCCCCGTCACTGCACCTTCCGTCCTGACAGCCCCACAGCCTGGGTGACTCGTCCATGCCACATCTGTGAGAGGGGGACTGGTGTGGCTGTGGCATGGGGCATGTGGGGGCCTGGTCCAGGGTCCACAATGCAAGCATGGGCATTGGAGGCAGTGCCCAATTCCTGGCCCCTGTTTCTGCCTCCAGGTCCTGAGGAGCCGGGGGCAGAGATGGGAGCATGGACCGATGTGGTGTGGGATGTGTTCCTCCACCCCCGCTGTGAGGCCGCCCCACCACCCTCGTTCGTGCCTCTCCCTGCAGCCCAGCTCTGGCTCCTCCTCAGTCAAGTGCAGTGTGGTCTGTGGCCTGGCAGGCCTGGGTGCCCGACACAAACCAGGACAGCTGGACATCACTGGACTAGAGGGTGTCTAGGTTCCTCTCTGGCTGGCCCTGGGTGGGCATTTTAACCTCTCTGCGCCTCAGTTTCCTCCAATGGCAATACCCAGGCAGGGGTGAGGGCTGATGGGACGGTTGTTGGGGTCGTCAGTGTTGTCTGTCTCTCCAACACTCTCTTGACCAGCAGCCCAGGCACCAGCTGGCTTGGTGAGTCTCTCCCATCCCCACAGCTCAGGATGTCTGGAGAGCCTCGTCGTGTGGCCTTGTCTGTGTAAAACTTTGCCTCCACAATCGAATGCATTCCTGAAGGAGACTCTCCTTCCAGAGCTCTTGACTCCCATCCAGCCTGATAACCCCGGCATTCAGTCGCGTCTGTGGGTGACCAGCCCAGGCCCTGCTCGGCATTCAGACCAGCCGAACCTGAGGAGGGGAAGATGACCGCAGGGCCCTCACAACAGAGCAGGGTCAACACTGACCAGCAGCCCTTCCTGTTGGAGAGTGCCAGGTGGAGCTGGTTCCCCAGACTGGTGCCAGCTGAGCAGAGTGGATCCTCACTACTACCCTGAGCCAGCGGCTGCCTGTGCCGCGCTTCTGCCGGAAAACTGTCAGGAAACGTTCCAACTCAGACTCCACAACGTAAGGCTGGTTTCATGTTGCTTCTCATTTATTAATTCAGTCTGTTCTAAGTTATACAATTATGAAAATAACAAAACCAAAGCCAAAAGCCCAGGAATATTTACATTCTCTCGTGTAGTGAGGTCAGTCTATGCTGTCGCACAGGGCGGTTACGTTTGGTACCACAAGGTGTTCGCAATTTAGACAAAACTGGACAGATTAACAACTATATGTACAGTAAAATAGAAGGGGAAGTCATTCAAGTATCAAAATACAGAGACAAAGATTAAATAACATTTTATTACATTTCAGTCCCATTGCCACACCGTTAGCAACAACACTTTGTGAATTGCGTCTGACGGTCATCCTGCAGGCCCGGGCCCCCCTACACAGGCTGAGGGCAGACAGGCCTGCTCAGCCCCAGGCTTCTGGAGGGACTCCCCAGAGCTGCAGCTGGAGGCCCTGGAGGGGTGTGTGCATCGCAGAGGCAGAGCCTGTCTGGAAGGAAGCCCCACTCGCTCGGAGCAGCTGCAAGGAGGGCGGAGCAGAGAGCCCGCAGCCCGGCAGGTACTAACCCCTCTTGAGTCCCGCCTGAAGGGCCTGCATGGTTCAGAACAGGGCTGCGCTCGCGTGCAGAAGCGAGGCTCCTCCATGTGAAGACTGTCCTCAATGTTATAATATTTCTTTGTAGGGAAGGGAGAGTACCTGTCCCAGAGGAGGAGTAAAAAAGATCTAGCCCCTCCCTTTTTGACTACTGAGAAATAAACCAATCTCAAAACAAAATCCAGAGCAGATTAGCCAAGGCTTTCCAATATGAAAACACCCTGAATAAATAAAGAAGATATAGCAGCTTCAAGAGGAGGAGACACCTACCTAGGACATAAAAACAAAAAAAACAGCTTGAGGAACTCATTATAGTGTCTACAGTTTTCTTTGTGGATCCACCGCCCACCAGGAGGGGCCTACTTAGAGGAGACCGGCCTTCCTCAGGAGGAAGAGGGCACAACAGTACATGTGCTGTGGCCAGACTGCAGTCTCCTCACCCAGCTTGGGCTCCTTGTCCATCCCTGGAAGAAGGAGGGGCTGAATACTGCACAGTAGAACCATCAGGCCCTGGGAGCAGCAGGACATGAAGTCAGACTTCTGGTGTTGAGGTCCTTGTTAGTACCAAAAGGGCAGGACCACCTGTCTCCATCTCAGAGTAAGGGTGACCCCCTGGGCCTGTGGTGTGGATGGTGCAGGGAACCCATGGGGGCCCCGACTCAGGTCAGCAGAACACGTGGTCCTGCTCCCCGCCCCCAGCCCCACCCCCTGACCTGGGAGATCCTGGCCAGGGAGTGGGGTGCTGCCAAGGCCGTGGACTACTGACCCCAGGACCCACTGCACCACACCAGCAAAGCGGGGCGGCCTGTTTGGGGAGGGAAGGCTTTGTTCTGGGAGCTGCTAGACACGCAGCTGAACTGGCCCAGCCACAAGGAATGAGTCCCTTCCATCCTACCGCCTCCAGGAGGGGCGATGCAACCAAAGGCCAGCAGGATGGCTCAGGCGGTGGCAGTGCTGGCCCTGGAGGCCACGCTGGGGGAGCAAACTGCCTCTGTGACGAGCCTTCTCCGCCCTCAGAGCCTGGGGTGAGCCCAGAGCTGAAAGGACGACAGTCAGACCAAAGTGAGTCCTAATCACACACACCTGATTAGATAAATCACACACCGGATAGGCAGGCAGACCTACCCGGCCTCAGCTGACCTACCCGTTAATGCCCAAGACACACAGCTGCTTCCTCTCCTTTCTGATCTGAGTCGGCCGGCCTGAGGTCACTGGTGGGCCCATGGCCTGCAGCCCAGGGCGGTGCTCTGACCACGGCAGCCTGCTCTTCCTCCGCCCGGCCTGACCTCCACGCTCGGCCCGCCGGGGACAGAGTGGAAGCCGCCACAGCCGCGCTCGGCTCCAGGCGAGGATGAGAAGCCGCATGTGTGGCAGAAAGGAGCGGCGGCTGTCGGGCTGACTCCGTTCACCCAGCGCCTTCTCTCGGAGCTGCCCACACGCGCCCACGCCCTGGCCTGAGGACAGAGGCCCTCTGACCACATGGCCACTGGTCTAAAGATTGGCAGTTTAACCTAGAGGTTTGAGCCAAGTGTTAAAAGGTAATTTTATAAAAAATCTTTTTCTATTAAAAACCGTTTTCTGGACAAGTCACTTCTAGGGCCTCTGGAGTCCCAGTCTCATCTGCTAGAGGCTGGAGGGCTGCTTGGCACGGGGACAGGGCTCCCTCCACGAGGCCTGGCGGCGGCCCGGGCCCACAGCCGGGAGGAGTCCTGCGGGCAGAGGTGGGCCTGGGTCTCCAACGCAGGTGAGGCGGCGGTGGCAGCGGCGGTGGCGGGAGCCTGCGCTCCGCACGGCTGTTTCTGCAACACAGTCGGTTCCTCGGTGGCTCAGCTTGGCAGAAGCAAACACAACGGGGGGAGGAAAAGGTTAACCAGAGGGGCTGCACACAGTGGAGGAGATGGAGAGGAAACAGGGAGGCAGAACAGAAGGTCCCTCGCGGCCTCCCTGAGCACCCTCCGTGGCTCAGACGTCTGCTCGGAAGGCACGAGGGCAGGAGGCAGGAGACCCACCTCGGCTTGTCCACTGGGTTTGGCTCTACAGGAACCGCCGCCACTGAGCGGCGGGGCTCCAGGGTCGCACTCCGAGCTGAGCTTCCCCCCACGGAACCGCGGCTCTCCTCCCGCCACCTGAGCTACCCGCCCCAAGGGCGCCAGCCTCCACAGCCTCCGCGCTGCCTACTGCCCTGATCCCCACGCCACGGAGAAGCGTCAGCAAGCACTGCCCCGCCCAGGTCCCTGTCCTCGAGCGGCGCCGTCCTGACGGGAGAAGGTGCAGGGCACTGACCCCCTCCTACGGGTCCCACAAGGCGGCCTTCCTCTTCCGCCCGCCTGACACTCCCCGGCCAAGGCGTGAGGAGCCATCCCACTCCATGCAGCTCAACATCCCCGAGACAAAGACTCCAGGCGCTCAGAGCCCCAGGCTTTAGAGCCAGGCACGTGCCCCTGGGCCCTCACAGAGCGTGCTGACCCCGGTCCAGCCTCATCGCTGAGCGGAGGGTCTTGCAGCAGGAAGACAGGCCGCAGGCCAGCGCGAGCGGCGTGCAGGGGCCCTGGCCCCAGGCGGTCACAGTGGTTGGTTGTGTCGGGAGGCTCGCGGCAGCGTGTGACTCGGAAGCTGGGAGAGTCGCGGCCAACGGTGTCGGGATCCCGCGTGCCCGCCCGCCGACGCCCTCCCGCTGCCCCACGTCAAAGGCAACTCGCCCTCCCCGCACCCCACCCCAAAGCCGTCCTCGACCAAGGAGGGATTCACAGTGTCCGGTGGCCGGGAGGGGAGGCCCGGGGCGGGGGTGGGGCCTCGGCCTCAGCGTGGAAGGAGAGCTGACAAGAGCAGGGGGGCGGCGGAAGGCACGTGAGAGTGGCGGAGGCGGGGCGGGTGCTTAGAAGATAGTGGTCTCGTACTTGGTGCTGAGGCTCCGCTTGGAGTCCGGCTTGGGGTCCACGACCCAGGAGACGCTGGCGTGGGACTGGGAGTCAGCGTCCGTGTCGGGTGGCTCCAGCTGCCAGGGAGGAGGGGGCAGGGTCAGAGGGGCCGCCCTGGCCTCCGTGTCCCCGGGGTGCCCTGTTCTCTGCCAGAGCGCCGGCTCCCCGGGTGAGGAGCAGGAGCGGCACCTCGCGGGGGCGTCCCAGGAGGCGGTCTCTGGGGGGCGTGGAACGGCTGGGGTCCCTGGGCCTGCCCGAGCGTCGGGCCCTTGGTCCAGGGCGGTTCCTGGCGCAGGAAGCAGGGAAGGGGTTTGGAAAACCCGAACTGTGGGGCCAGAGAGCTCCCCCGGGCAAGACCACAGCAGGCACCCCTGACCTCTGGAGACGGGAGGACACACAGCAGAGAGACAGGCACAGCACAGAGGGGCGGTGCGGGGGCAGCTCGGGAAAGACGGGCACGCGGGGCCGGGGGCGCCAGAGGCCCCAGGAGCTCACGGTCCCGCGGGGAGACGGACACACACAGCAGGTGTAGAGACCTTGGCTCCAGGACTAACAGACGGCAGCGGGAGGTAAGAAGGACGGTGGGTGGGGCGGGTGTGACACTGACAACAGCGACTATCGGGGGGCGGCGGCACCTGGGGCGCGGAGCAAAGCAGACAGACACGGGCGGGGTTACGGCCGTGGCCCCGCGGCATCTGGAGCAGGAGGAGACCCACCACGCGCCCCTCCCGGGGCCCGGGGCCCGGGGCCCACGTACCGCGGACTTCCTCACGCCCACCCGGGGCTTCGGCACCGGCTTGGAAGATCTGGTCTCGATCACCTCAGTGGCAGAGGCCCCCATCGCCCTGGCCTTCTGGGCCTGCAGGGCCAGCTGGTAGGCCACCTCAAACGCCTGGCCCAGCGTCAGGATGATCTCGTAGGTCAGGTTCTGGGAGGAGGCAGGGCACAGGGTGAGGAGGGAGGGGGCAGCACCGCCCTGATGCCCCCCAGCCTCGGACCCTGCACAGGCCGGCGGCAGCAGCGCACAGGTGCAGGGAATGGTTGCCCTGGAAGCGAAGTGTGTCCCGAGGAGCAGTCTGAACAAAGCGTACATTTTGTTTCCTCGTGTGTGATTTCACTCGAGATGAGCCCTGGGGGTCACTGTGGCTTCAGGGCGTTGTGCCCAGAAACGACAGGGAAGGTGAGCCGTAGGAACAGGGACAGACAGCTGGGGAGATCTCTTCAGAACAAGCCCTGAAATAGTTCCACTCTGTCCACCTGTGCAGGTGAGGAGCAAGGAGGGGAGTTTCTAGCTCACAAGCCAGTGAGTGTCAAAGCCGAGAGGCTGTGGCCGGGCCCAGAGCACCAACAGAGGTCCCAGGCGGGGCCCTGAAAACCCCCGGGGGCAGCAGGGAGCTGGCACAGGCCCCGATTCGGGGCCGCCACCGGGGTCACACATCCACTCCCTGGGGGCGGTACTCGAACACCTCCCGTCAGCCCAGTGGCGCCAGGGTGCAGCCCAAGCTGGACTCTGGGGGAAGGAGACTCATTGTCCCCAACAGGGAGGCGGGGGGCTTTTCAGGAAGACGCCCCGCAGGAGAGTCAGCCAATAGCCGGGGCGGGGCAACCCTGGCTGGAGAACACATAGGCGGCCAGAACCCTGGTGGAGCTGCTGTGCTCCTCTGCGCATCAGTCTCAGAGCTGATCAGAGGGGCGGCGCCGGGCGCTCACGCCTGAACAGACGCGGCTCAGTGCCCGCCAGGTGCCAGCAAGCAATGCCCGGGCCGTGGGGCCTCCACCTACCACGTCCACCGTGCTGAAGACGTGGCAGTAGTGATGGCTGGTCTGCAGGTCCTTAGTGATGTAGGCAAAGGTACACAGGTCCTCCGGGTCCTGGGCCGCACAGGAAATGTTCCGGATCTCGTGCTCCGCGATGATGTTCTGCGGGGAAAGCAGCTCTGGAGTTCTTGGGCTCCCTGAGGGCACCCTGTCACCAGCACCACCTTTTTGTCCCAGCCCAGGGCGTCGGCCAAACGCCACTTCCTCATCTGCTCTCTGGGGGGGAGGGGGTCGAGGGTGGCGCCTAATCTCGTCTGCTTTAGGTTGGGGGTCTCCACCCCTGACCACAGCAGCTGAAGAAGTAAAATGTTCACATCCAGCCCCCTCTGCCCTCCAGGGCCCAAGCGCGGGGCCTGGGGGTGTGCTGGCCTCATTAAGCGCATCACAGCATTAAAGGCCTGTGAGCTGCTAAGTGGCCAGTGGAGCCCACGCTGAGGGAGAGACGCTGTCCCGTGGACCCAGGAAGGGGGTGCATAGGAGGCAGACACTGGGCCGGGGGGCGGAGGTGGCACAGGCAGGGACCCTCTGAGGGAGGTGCCTAGCCGGCAGGGGTGAAGGGCGGGGAGGGGGGACACACCTTGTTGGAGGCGTCGATGAACTTGACCCCTTTGTACGTGATGGACAGGATGATGGTGGGGATCTTCTTCATGTGCTCCGTGGATTTCTACAGCAAACGGAAGGCCCATCACCGCCGCTCCTCCGGGCAGGACCCCACAGCTGCAGCTGGCGCCACCACCTGCTGCCTGCTATCCTAGCCACCCCCAATACACCACTGCCCATGACAGCCTACCCGCATCTTGGCACAGGCATCCTGTGTGGATTCTGTCCCTCGCAGATCTCTGATCAACATGGAGCCCAGATACTGTGGGGGTGAGCAGTGGGCACGTTCAGGTGTCCTGTGTCTCCATGCTGGGACCGCCCAGCCGATCTGGGCCCTCTCCTGTGACTCCCCTCCCCGCAATGCCAGGACGGCTGAAGAGCTGAAATAGCCTGGGGGCCCTGGGCTGGAGGTAGGGGTTACTCACATTGGCTTCGTAACCGCAGGACTCGAAGATGAGTTTCTCTGGCTGGTGTTGCCAGCTCTGCACAGGGGCGTAGGGGGCAGCCAGGCTGGGGGGCCGGAGGGTCAGCTTGGCCTCTCGGTGCTCCTCCTGCAGAACACGTGGGGCCCAGGTCAGCCTGCCGCTCAAGGGGCTCCCGAGTGACCCGCCTGGCTCTGGCCCGCCAGCCACCTCCGGGAGTTCCAGGGCAGAGGCAGACCAGCCCTTCAGATGCGCTGGGGCAGAGACGAGGCCTGTCCAGGCTGAGAACAGGTGGGAAAGCCAGGACCTCAGCCACCCATCTGTGAGCAGCTCCGGGTGGAAGGTGCTGTGGTGTCAGAGACGATCTGATCCTGGGGTAGTGGAGGGGCGGGGATGTCTCCGTGGCCACGGATGTGCTTTATAGGGGTCCTTGTGACAGGAGTCAGGGTGCGCGGGGGGTGGGAGGCCACTGCGGGCCAGAGGATGGGGTCCTCAGCTAGGGCATGGGTAGAAGGCACGGGGACGAGGGGAAAGTCAGGACTCCCAGCAGTATGGAAAGTCTTGATACAGAGTCACCAAGACTGCCAGACAACATGCAACATGCTTTCTGAATCTTGTGAAATTCACAGTTGTGCTGGTGCAAAGGTGCGGGGACTCCCCAGAACGGAGAAGCGTGAGTCACAAGAGGAGAAGCGGGTCAAAGACGCGGAGCGAAGGCTCGCCCTGTGGGTGACAAGGGCCAGCAAGGGCCAGGCCACAGCTGGCAGGCGGGATGAAGCCTGCGGCCTGCGCCAGGCAGGGGGAGCCCTGTCCTGCCGGGAGGGGTGCAGGGACCCGTCTGGGCCCCCCACCCACCTGGGTTCTGAAGCGCTCCGCCCGAGAGGGCGCCGCGGGCTCGTGCAGGCTGTCGTGCGGCCTCCTGCCCGCGTCCCCAGGAGGCAGCAGCAGGTCAGCCGACCGCCCGGCGCAGGAGTCGTTCTGGCTCAGCGGGGACGACGTCTGCGAGAACAGGTCCTGGCACTGCAGCGGGGAGAGGAGTGAGTCTGTGGGCCGCCCAGCCGGGCCTCAGGCTGCGGTATCAGGGTCCAGCCCCAGGAGGGATCGGTGAGAAAGGGCAGGAGCTGGGCGTCAGCGCCCAGCACGGTCACAGCGGCCAGACTCTCCAGCTAGAAAGCCCTGACCGGGCTCTGCAGGTGGGCAGCCGGTCTGAGCACAGCCTGCAGCCCGGAGCGCTCGGGGGGAGGGGTGGTTGTAGGGCTGGGGAGCGCGCTCCACCTTCTGAGAGAAAACCGTCTGCCACGGCTGACTGCAGGTCCTGGGGATACATGACTCGATCTAAGGGTCTCTCCTAGAAATACCCTGTGCTCCCGACAGGCACCCTTGTCTCCTCGGTTTCCATGTCTGAATGTCAGTGGAGGGTCTGCTCTCGGAACCAGCCTGGGCCCTGGCTCCCTCACATGTGAAAGGGTGAAACCGTGCCCACTTTGAGGCTGAGGCTCTAGCCCAGGGCCCACCCACTGCCCACCAGCAGCCTCGCCGGTCTGGGGAGAGTCATCCTGAACCACAGGCTCACAGTCTAACCTGCTCTTCAGTCAGAAATTACCCGCGTTGAGCAACAAAACATCTGTGAGGTTTTAAAAATCACACGGATTTCCTTCAGAAGCTGAGGAAGGCCCAGCCCTGCCGTGTTCCAGGCTTTGTCTCCGGCTCCTGTCAGACCGCCCGAGGGGACTGCAGCCCCCAGACAGCTGAACGTGACATTCAGACACAGGCCTAGCTAGTTTGGGATTCGTTCATTTGTTTTCCTACCTTTCCCAACACTTGACCCCAACACTAGGAGGAGAGGGATCAGCTGCTCCTTTCCTACAGAGGTGCCACTGTCTCTGAGAAATTCCTAAAGGATTCTTTTCAATTCTTGACAACCCACGCACACACGCCTCCCTCTCCACCCTCCCCACTCACTCTCAGCTGGGAGAACCGTGGGGGCTTCTGGGGCGGCTCCTCATAGGGTCTGTCCGCCAGGGAGGCGATGATGCGCTTGCGATGGCCGAGCAGATGCACCTTCAGGACCTGGGTGGGGGGCGGGGAGCGGTCAGGGACGGCTGGGACCCCAGCCCCCTCCCAGGGCAGCCGGGGACACTCGTGCCTCAGGACTGACCAGCCAGGCCTGAGCAGAACCGCACTCACGTTGACGAGCTCCAGCTCCCAGAGGTTCTTCACCGTGTCCATGGAGCTGTAGCCACTCGACAGGAAGGAATGGACATAGTCCTGGAGCCCCAGCGAGTCCAGCCAGGAGGGCACAGACGGGGGGCTGTTCCCGTCGCAGCCCAGCGCCTTCACCTGTGCAGTGAGGACAGGAGGCGGGGCTGCCAAGGGCCGCGGGGCCACAGGAGACCAGCCTGGAGGCTGGGGCAGGAGTGGGATGGTGCCTGAGGACCAGCAGGGGCCTGGCCCTCGGCTCACACAGCTGTCCCTGCCTCAGCTCCGGCCTCCGGCCTCACCTGGGACCACCCGGCACCCCAGGTCTGCCAGATCAGGGCCCAGCTGAGGCAGGAAGTCAGTGAGAGGGGCAGGTGCCCTGTCGGGTGAGACCAGATCGGGAGGAGGGTCTGTGAGGCCCCTCTATGCCCGTACGGTCATGGACCTGGCGGGACAAGGAGACGGTGTGCGTGCGTGGGGCGGGCGCTGGCCTCCCTGCTGGGACTGTGTCCTCAGACCTTGGCAGTGAAGGGACCAGGGACTGCACCAGCAGAGCTGAGGAGAGGCTCAGGCCTTCCGCCCGCAGCTCCCCAGGCGAGGACCGTTTCCTGTGCTGCCCCACACCCCGGGCCTCGGGGGAGGGCCTGGCCTGCAGGTGACGGGCCACGCCTGCGGGCACCAGGCTCCATGCCAGGCGACCCGTTCCTGAGGCTGGACTAGGCGGGCACTGTCCCTGGGGCTCTGCTGGCCTCGGAACGTGACAAAGCGGTGAACAGGACACTGTGCTCCCCAGGGGGTCCCAGGATGGGGCAGACCCCCCTTGGTGGCTCCCAAGCCCGCCCTGCCCCTCGCCGAGGCCGAGGCACTGCGGGTGGCACCTTGGGCAGGGACCGGGCGGCCTGGAGCAGCTTCCGCCTGTGCTGTGCATCACTGATGCCGATTTCCCTCAGGTCCTGATCTTCCATCACGTTAGGCCCCTGAGAGCAGAAAGAAGAACGTGAGGGCCTCCTGCGTGAGGCCAGCCTGTTATGGCCCCTTGCCAAGTTCTTCTTCACCACCAGCACCATGAGGGCATGAGCCCCGGGGCGCCCTGCGAGCAAGGCTGGGCTGCAGGGGGCCTCATACAGCAGGAAGACAAACCTGCCCGGCTGCCCACCTGTCCTGAGCAGCTCCAGGGCGCTGAGCCAGGCCAGAGCAGGCAGCGCACAGGCCCTCACCCTGAGCCCATGTGCGGGGGGCAGATCTGACAACCCCCCAAGGCAAAGTGAAAGTCACTCAGTCGTGTCCAACTCTTTGCAACCCCATGGACCCAGGTCTCCCGCACTGCAGGCGGATTCTTTATTGGCTGAGCCCCAAGGGAAGCCCCTCCAAGGTGAAGAACAGGATTAATTTCCAGATTCCTTACAAACACGATTTTGTGATTTTAGGTTAAAACAGCCACCCTAGGTGGGTGGCAGGGGCAGGTACCCAAGGAGGAGAGGAGTCTAAAGTGGAGACCTGCCTGGGAGAGGAGGGGGGGTTCAGCGGAGGGCGACACGGAGGGTGGCTGATGTTTGCCACGTCCTTGCTGTGTGACAGGGACCGGGAGCTTTCACGTGCACTTGCCCACTTTGGGCTCACAACCCTGTGTTAGGTTCTGTTTGTATTCTCATTTTACAGAGAAGGAAACGGAGGCACACAGAGGTCAGAAACACATCCGAAGTCACACATCTTGTGGTGGAGCTAGGATCTGAGATGATCTGACTGCACTCACCACTCCTAACCCCTATCATGCTGTCTTTAATTACTCACAGTGGTGTCACAAGATAGGGTTTCTTTCAGATTATGATACACGAAAAGTCATGGGTTCTGCCTGTCTCTCAGCTACAGAGCCCCAGCCCCCAAGAGCAATGGTGCCCACTTTCCTGGATATCCCTCCAGACCCCAGCTGGGCACCTACATACATGTATACTTTATTCCTGCATGAATAATGATTCTTGTACTCACTGTTCAGTACCTTATTCTTAACTGCTGAGTATATATAGGAGGTCACCCTGCATCAGTGTATGGAGACCTGTCCTTTCTTTTAAAGCTGCATAATCATCCAGGTCATTGATGATTATAAATTTATTAAACTGTGAATATTATAAATTTTTACACTAGTTACGTGTTGAAGGATGACTGCTTCCAATTTCTGCTTTTACGAGTGGTGCTGCACAAATTCCCTTCTATGTGCATCATTCTATGGCAGTTATCAAGAAAAGAGACTGCTGCCAAACTGTTCTCGAGAAAGAAGAACAAAGCTGAAGGTATCACTCCCTGTCTTCAGACCATACTACAAAGTTGCAGTAATCAAAACAGTATGGCACTGGCACAAAAACAGATGCATAGATTGATGGAACAGAACACAGCACCCAGAAATAAACCCACACTTACATGGTCATGTAATCTATGGCAAAGGAGGCAAGAATATACAGTGGGGAAAAGACAGCCTCTTCAATAAATGGTCCAGAAAACTGGACAGCTACCTGCAAAATAATCAAAACTGTTGTTCCACTTTCTCATACCATATACAAAAATAAAATTAAAATGGATTAAAGACTCAAATATAAGACCTAAAACCATAAAACTCCCAGAAGAAAACATAGGGAGTACACTCTTTGACATCAGACTTAGCCATATTTTTTAGATCTGTGTTCTCAAAGGAAATGAAAGCAAAAAAAAACAAATTGGACTATATCAAACTGAAAAACTTTCAGACAGTGAAAGAAATTATCAACAAAATGAAAGGGCTATCTACTAAATGGGAGAAGATATTTGCAAACAAAGTATCAGATAAAGGTTGTTAATATCCAAAATATACAAAGAACTCATATAATCAATATTTAAAAAACCAAATAACCTGATTGGAAATTTTTCTATTCAGATCCTCTACTCATTTTTTAAAGACACACAGATGACCGAGAGACACATGAAAAGATGCTCAACATCACTAATTGTTAGGAAAATGCAAATTAAAACCACAATGAGATATCACTTTACACCTGTCAGAATGGCTATTATCAAAAAGACAACAAATAAGTATTGGCAAGGATGTGGACAAAAGGGAAACCTCATGCACTGCTAGTGAGACTGTAAATCGGTACATTGACAGATGAATAGTGTGGTGTACATGCACACAAAGGAATACTACTCAGCCAAAAAAAAAAAAGAATGGGACTTCCCTGGTGGTTCAGTGGGTAAAAGAATTTGTCTGCACAAATGCAGGGCACACAGGTTTGATTCCTGGTCTGGGAAGATGCCACACGCCACAGGGCAACTAAGCCTGTGAGCCACAACTACCAAGCCTGTGCTCTGGGGGCCTTGAACCACAACTACTACAGCCCGAGTGCCCCACAGCCCATACCCCACATGGAGAGAGTAGCCTCCTTTCCACAACTGGGGGAAGCCTGTGCACCACAACCACCAACCAGCACAGCCAAAATAAATGAAACCATACTTTCAAAAAAGAATGATATCTTGGCATTTGTGACAGTGTGGATGGGGTCCAGAGTGCATTATACTGAAACAGACAAATATGGTATGATCTCACTTATATGTGGAATCTAAAAAATGAACAAGCAAACCAAAATGCAGAGTCTCATAAAGTGAACAAATAGGTGGTTGCCAGAGGGGAATCAGGTGAGGTGGAGGGGAACAGGTAAAGGGGATTAAGAGGTACAGACCTCCAGTTACAAAATAAATAAGCCATGGGGATATAACATACAGCCTAAGGAATATGGTCAATAATATTGTAATAACTTTGCATGGTGACAAGACGGTTACTAGACTTACTGTGATCATTTCATAATGTATCAGATGTCAAATCATTAGGTAGTACACCTGAAACTAATATAATATCACATGTCAACTATATTTCGATTTTAAATTTTCAAAAAAGGGTAAAAAAGAAATTTCTCGGGCAAGGGTATGTGTGTTTAGAAGGCTGACAGACATCTGTACTCTCATGAGTACAGCTGTTTAGAAATGGCTTCTCACCATGTCTTAAGATCAGTCCACTCATAGGTGAGCTCAAGCATCTTTTCACATTTTATCTGTCAAGTACATACACAGCACTTACTGCCCCCACCATGTGTGACATGCTTTGCACTTGCTGAACTACTGAATAATGGGGACTACTGTTACCCCATTTAACAGCTCAGGAAGCTGAGGCCCAGACAGCACCAGTGACCTGTGGGGCAGAGTTCAGCCCAATGTTCGTGTCCATGCAGCTCTGGGCTGGCGCTGGGAGCAGCCACAGCTGCTGCTTCAGGAATTACTTTATCCTGCACTCGATCTGCAGGAATTCTTTACACGGTGAGGAAATTAACCCTTTAGCTATGAAGAGTCGGGCGCCTGTCTTTCCTGTTTGTCATTGTTCCTGAACTGTTGTGCTGGCTTTGTTCAAGCAGAACCTATCTGCTTGCACTGGAACACACCCACTTTTCTCATGGAGCTCCTCTAAAGTTCCATCAGGCTTAGAAAATCCTTTCCAGGATTTTTAAAACAATTCTTCCACAGTTTTTTCCCTGTAACTTCAGTTTCATTTTTTACAATCCAATCTTTGAAGTGAAGAGAAGTCATTCAGTCGTGTCCGACTCTGTGCGACCCCATGGACTACAGCCCACCAGGCTCCTCTGTCCATGGGGTTCTCCAGGCAAAAATACTGGAGTGGGGTGCCATTTCCTTCTCCAGATCCAATCTTTAATCTACCTCAAATTTATTTTGACATAAGATTTAAGGGTCCACTTGATATTTTTTTTCCAGGCAGCAGGCTGTCTATTTCTTGAATGAGTTATCTTTTCCCCACCAATGTGAAATAACTTCTGATGTGTTCTAAATTCCTATGTTTCCAGGATAGTTTCTGGACTTTTTATTCTATTGAGGTGGATATTCTTTATGCTCGCTTTAAAGAGAGGAGTTAGTAACCCGGGCCAGCTCATGCAGACCATTACCTGGTGGCCTCACCTATGTGACCGCTGCTGTGGGAGCCTCCCGAGAGCCCGTGCCTGATGACAGATCTGGCCTCACGGAGGACAGGCTGTGAGCAAGGCAGATCCGAAGCCGACCACCCTGCTCAGGCTGCAGGGCACGCCCCTCCGCTGGGACCCCGGAGGTCCCTGGGCCTGCACACAGCCCCTGTGCCCTGGCACCACTCCAGGCCTGACCAAGTCCCACGTCGCCCCTGACCCAAGCATCACCGCGCCGAGTTCCTGTCGTCACTCTGGGCCCAAGTCTAGGGTGTGCTGATGGGGAAAAGCAGACGGGGGAGGCTTTCTGCTTGACGGTGAGGACCTGACAGCGAGCCTCCAACAGGGCGGCACTGCAGCAATGTTCTGAAAAGCCACTGTAACCCCAGCATTTCCTCAGAAGCCTTCACAAGCTTTTAGGGTACCACTAACACTGCACTGAAGCCTGACCACCAGGAAACCAGATCCAGCTGGAGACAAGGCCTTCATGAACCAGACCTCCAGGCAAGAGAATGGGGGCGTATGCAGCTTTGAGGAGAAGGAGGCAGATGGAAACAAAACCCAAACAAAGGACGTGATGGAAAATCAGAGCAAACAGCTGCAGGAGCACGCCCTGGGCACAGCGCAGGGCCCCGAGTTCCTGAACCTGCCACGTCTACATCTGTGGGATTAGTTTGTGTGGGGGCTTTCAGGCCTCCAAATCCTCGAAGACAGGAAACATTCTGGAAGTTACTCCACCGTCCTGGCTGAGGAAGAAACCTTTTCACAGGAGGTTTATGGGGAAAAGGGACCTCCTACTTGGTTTACCTCCTGCCACACTCATGCTGACCAAGAGCTGACTGTATGCCAGTCCGCGTTCCAAGTTCCCGGTGAGCGAACAGTTAGGGAGCCAACCAAGCAGAACAGCTCACTGGCCTAAGCCTGTCAGTGAACAGATTCCCTGAGAGTTTAACAAAGTTTCCAAGTCTACTGTGACATCTGAAGCAGAA